AATCCAAGAAATTAAAGTTTACTCACTGTTTACTCTCAAATGGTTACAAACCTTTATGAGTTTCTTTGCTCTGTTGAACACAAAGAAAATATTTTGAAGAAAGCTGAAACCTTATAACTATAGACATTCATAGTGGGGAAAACAAATACTATGGAAGCCAATGGTTACCGGTTTTCAACATTGTTCAAAATATCTTCTTTTTTATTCAACAGAAGAAAGTTAAATGGGTTTAGAACAAATGAAAGGAAAATGAATGACAGAATATTCACTGTCCCTTTAAAGCATAGTCTTGTTGGATATCCACTTTTCCAGTACTGCACAATACTAGTGACCCAAACCGACACTAGTAAGATCATAGTAACTCTGAAAGAGTCAAACAACAACATTCACCCTGGCCTTAAAATGAGGCCCTGGAGACAGCAGCCAATCAGGATCCCTCTGGCAGCTCCATCCATCCTCACCGATTCCTCATGTGCGTCACCGACCCACGCGTCTATTCCCCTGAGGCTAACAGCCAATAACACTGAGCTGATGGGAATAACAAACACACAAATAAAGGCTAGGCACGCACAAAAACGTGTCTGAGTGAAAGGACGTGTCCACCCAAAATAAAAAAAAATAAATAAAATTGTCTGAGCTTACCTCAACACGCAGTGGCCCCTAAGAGTAAATGCCCGATTAACTCTCACACACCGATAGCATACTAAAAACCAAGCAATACACAGGTCTGACTCGCAATCTCTTGTCAGAGCCTTGACCTGCCAAATTCATCGTGTGATATTACTATCTGATACGCGACAGGGTGCAATATGAGGCCACCGCCACCCAGGTCGGATCACTCCTCCTGTTTCAACACTAAACAAGAAGACAGTCTACCATCAGTCAAATTGACCACTCTAAAGACAAAGCAATAACATGGTAAATTGTAAGGCGAGGAAGTCTTGCAGCAATCTTACGGGCTCATTTGGACACAGCGGCTCCTGCAGCGATGCAAGATGAAAAGTCTGGTGTTTATTAGGAGCTCGTCTAAACCCTAATGCGCCAATAGAGTGTCAAATCCACGTCCCCATCGGTCCATGGGGGGGATCTGAGAGAAAATGCAGGAGAAAATGGGTGGCACTCGAAGCGCTGTAGTATTTAAATAATGAAGCTCAAGCAGCAATGAGGGAAATATCTGATGAGGGGGCAGAGGGTCACAGCTCAGGGGAACCAACGGCTGCCACGTTTTAACTCTGATTTGCATTTATCACACAGAAAAAAATTGGACAAGACACATCTGCCCCTGACTCACTTCATAAAGTCAGCTTCGCTGATTTCCGTCATCCGAGAAAGGCCGCTTTTTAAATTTGACAATTATAAGAGTAAAGGTCGACATTTCAGCTCCCATCAGACTCTTGTCACGTGATTTTTACTAAAAGGTTTGAAATTATTGAATGAGGTCTTTATAGTTCAACTCAATCCCGTAAGGTAAAGCATACATTTTTGATCATCCTTTAATTAAATGTAAAATCCAAATATTCTAAATTACATAACGTGTGGTAATCCCGCTGTGATTTTAGCCATTCTGTGCTACTGTGAGACTTAATTAACTAACACCACGCTGAATGCGGTTAGTGAAATATTAAATCCCTGAATTATTAGTAACCTTTATAAAGGTGTACAAGATGTGAGACAAAACACATCAGGCTTTGAAGTAATAGATCAGCTGAACATTTAACTTCTGTCATAACTTGCTAGTTTGTCAGTTTTTTATATATACTATTTTTCTTTAAGATATGTTAATACTACACTATAGTTTCCAATAAAATGCATGACAGTTGCTGTGTCGCAATTGGCTTACTTATAGTAGTACATACATCCGAGAGTGTAACAGAAGTATGCAAGCTTTGGAGCATACTACTTCCTACTTACCGGACCATTATGTTGCTTCGTTACACCCCCTGCCAATCATCTCGACACATCATCCACATATCTTTCATATTTAATTACCCACTTTTATTGGAGATGCAGCAGCAGGTTAATCAGCCATTCGCAGATCTTTCATGTAGATAAATCTTCTTAGGTCTTTGGATAATTATGCATTCAGAAAGTTATATTCAAACAGATCTTTAAATAAGTTCAGTTGTTGTTGCAGAATAGTTATAACATGGAAAATGTGATTTAAAGATTTTCCAGTTAGCTAGATAATAAGAGTCATTCAAATAACTTTTTTTTGGTTTCGTGGGTCTGCCATATTTGTAGTTTGTTTACACATTTTACCCGAGTTTGTAGTTCTAATCGAACTCATGTCCAACAAGCAATATTAGCAGTTAGAGTACAGACGGTTCTACACTAATTCATACTTATTCTATTTTTGAATACGATTTAGAATGGATAGCAAGCAATTTGGGACACAGAAAATATTTTTCGGGGCTAAAGAAAATATAAATTACAGAACAACTTTGCAGGTTTTTAAAAAAAACAACAAAAGCTGTGAAGCCATGAGTGCATTTTGTGAGTTTTTGATAAACAAAAACAACATTAAAAACAACATTAAAAACAACATGTTTGTACTTTTTTGAGGGATCAGTGTGAACAGTAACTGCTCTTCTGACCACAGTTATGTTTTAGGGCCACACAATATAGAAAAAATCTGATATTGCAATATTTTATCTTTCTGCTACACATATTGCGAAATAAAACAGTTTCACTTAATAGTTTGAATTTCTCTACTTGACTGTTTTCTGTGGAGTCCAACAATGTTCAGGTGCAGAAATTTAATAATCACAATTGCGAAAAAAAATGCTTTTCTTATCTTGCTTTGTCTCGTTTCTAGTTCAAATATTTAAAAATTCTTAGATCAAGTAAAAATATTGTTTTGTTTTCAACTTCAGAAGAATTAGGTCCAACTTAAGATTTTTTTTCCTTAAAACAAGCTAAATTATCTGCCGATGGGGTAAGTAAAATAATCTTGTTTTGGCTTTAAAAATGTAGAAAAATTCTAAGTAAGAATTACCTAATTACAAAAAGTACTTTTACATAAATCTTGTATATTCCGTATAAATGAAGTAAGTAATTGCAATTCTGTGGCTCCTGGTCAACTATTGCATATCTTGCGATGCGACATCAAGGCTGAAACCGTCATGATAACCAGCGATCTAACCCATAAAAATTGCTGGAGAACATTCACTATCACCCGGAAGACAACCGGGTCTTTATAAGAACTACAAATCCTGTCATGCACCACACACACACACCTGTTCCAGTTCTTTTTCAGACTGTTTCAGACTTTGCTGAGTTTTTTTGGTACATACCCTGTAACATTACGAAGCGTTTTCCGTGTTTAGTCTCTCTGTGTTTTGACCATCGCCTTGTTTTATTGTTTATCCTGCCTGCCACCTTTATCGACCATTTGCTTGTTATCTGACTACGCATCTGGATCTCCCTGTATGTTATCATTTGCTTGTTATTGTGACCATTACCTGCCTGACCATTCTTCACGTTCTATAATCAAAGAAGAACTGGAACAGGTGTGTATGGTGCATGATAGTGAATTACTGGTGATCATGACAGAAACAATATAATGTACAGTACTATTATGTTTCCAATTAAAACTGCAAATATGCAAAAAATATAAATATTGCATAAAATATTTGCAAAACTCCAAATATTCCATCCCTGATAAAATAATAAAATTGTCCCTTCCTAGGAGAAAAGTAACATATATCAATACATTAATGTGTCTGTATGCTGAAAAACTACTTTATTTTATTTTATGAGAGCAGACAACATGCAGTTAACTCCTTGAGAATTACCTAGAGTTGAGATGTGGGTACCTGATGTTTGGAAATGCAATCATGCAAGTCAGTTTTGTGAGGTAATTATACTAAATAATTTTAATAATGAACTTTTGCTAGAAAAATTAACATGGGAAGAATGTCAAATTATATTTCTTTGTTAAAAAAAAATGCTGTTTGAGCTTGCTGTTAAAAAACTCAATCAAACATCAAAATGTTTGAACCCTTATATAAAAAAGGTTTTTTGAACTTCAGCATATCAGAATGATTTCTAAAATATTGTGTGACATGGTGGAGTGATGATACTGACAATTTAGCTTTTGCCTTGCATAAATAAATTAGATCCTAAAATCTATTCAAATAAATTATTTTGAAATAACAATCATTTTAAATGATAACAATATTTTACAATAATTCAGCCATTTTACAGAAAAAAAGTAAATAAGCAAACAATGCTATATTTTGATAAATATATTTTAGGCTTGAGGCGACATAGTGGCTCAATGGTTAGAACTGTCGCCTCACAGCAAGAAGGTCACTGGTTTCGAGTCCCGGCTGGGTCAGTTGGTATTTCTGTGTGGAGTTTGCATGTTCTCCCCGTGTTTATGTGAGTTTCCTCCAGGTGCTCAAGTTTCCCCTACCATCCAAAGACATGCGCTATAGGTGAATTGAATAAACTAAATTGTCCGTAGTGTATGTGTGTGCATGTGAGAGTGTATGGGTGTTTCCCAGTACTAGGTGGCAGTTGGAAGGGCATCCGCTGTTTAAAACATATGGTGGATAAGTTTGCAGTTCATTCTGCTGTGGCAACCCCTGATGAATAAAGGGACTAAGCCGAAGGAAAATTAATGCATGAATTTTAGGCTTAAAATGTGCTTTTAGCCTGCAAAAAGTCAATATAATATCTCTGCAAAAAAACCTGGAAGGACTAATAAATTAGAGTTTTTACTTTTGGTTAGGATAAGAAACTAAATGTTTCAAAAACGTAAAAAATCTGAACACTACTGTAGATTTATTAGTTATCCTAACATTGTTGACCAAAATAAGTTTGCTAAAAATCTACTTTGTCATGATGCATGTAATAAAGCAAATTATGTTGATTTAAAACAACATAAGTAAAAAAAAAAGAAAGAAAGAATTTTAAAGAAAGAAAGAAAGAAAGAAAGAAAAGAACTATACAACCAGTGTGCCTGCCTTTAAATCTGATAAGATCACTAAACTCACCTGCTCCAGTAGTTTTCTATATCTCTGTGTGGCTTGCAGGATGAGATCCCGCACTGTCCATCCTTCCTTACAAGGTACAACAACACCAGTCCTTCCAAAAGTCACTGTCACTTTCATATTTAATCCAGAGAGCGAAGATTAATACAGATGTGTCCCTACAGAAACTCCAGCAGCAGGTGTTTGTGGTATTTGCTTTTTTGCAGCAAACTTCACAGCATCAGAGATGACATAATTCTATACAAAGAAAAACAAATACTGCATGTAAAACAAATAAACGAGAAACATGTTTCAGATAACGTTATATGATTTATAACTATACGGCAGTGTTTATTAAAATGTTTAATAAACAGCTTGTTGATGGTTGGATAGACACTTGGGTGCTCAATATCAACAGCTGGTGAGAAAGTAAAAAAAAACTGTCTATGGATAGATAATAACGATCCAAATACATTTTCAGCCTGGATTTGTTATTACAGTTAGAGATGAAGGCGGTAAGTGTACCGTTTGTTGCGGCTAACTAGTTAGCTCTGATGACAAACCTTTCACTTTTTAAACTCGCCACAAACTTTTAACACACGAAAAAACACTCAAATTAAACGTTAAATGCGTTTAAACTGCGTTTACGTGCCTTTCGATGTCAAACCAAACCTGTTTCGCACTTACTTGGCAAATAAAACCTGGAGAAGCGAGCAGGTTAGCGGCAAAAAACTTTGGCGACGAGTTGTTGAATTCCCTCACAAATCACGGAGTCATGCTGTCGTTATACAATTACCCACTTTACCGATGATTCACAGGGCAGACGAGCATTTACTCAAAACCCTAAGCAATGTGGATGGCGTTTGCATCAGTATTTAGCCTGGATGGGGTTGCAAGTCTTGCGCCATTCCTGAAGTTCCCGATCAGCCTCCAGCAGTGTTATCCCAACATACAGAGCAGGGCCACACAACTTTATTAAAGGGCCAGCTCACATCTGCACATGGACCACTGCATGACCCCGATACTGTAACACTGCTTTTTCAAATGTAAAATCTTAAAAAGTAAACGTTGTTGCACCTTGCTCCGTTTATAACCTTTAACCTCCATGAAACATTTTAATCGCGAAAAAGTTTAAAGTGGAAGTTATCTTAGGACACTGAAATAATGGTTGGTTATTTTAAGAATTATAATAAGTGGTTCTTTGGGGAACCAAAAAAAAGGTTCTTCCATCAGATGTGAAAATCTCTGGTTTTTCTGTACACCTTTATTTTGTAAAATGTGTGTTTTCAAGATCCAAGGTTTAATATACATTAGTTTAAAACATAAATAAAACAGAGATTCGAGAAATTAAATAAACAAAAGATTGTTTTCTACCTAAACTGTCTTAAGTCAGCAAACGGTTCATTAAAATGGGTCATATATAATATCAGCAAAGATATACTCCCCTAATGTAAAAAATCAAGTCAGATAAACAAATTACTAACATAGTTACTAATGATAAAAAAATAAAAAATTATATATATATTTACATTTTTTTGCTTTTGTCACTTGCTTTTGCTGTTTGAGGTTCAAAGCAAACCATCACTTAAACTTAAATATATTCAAATAAAATTTTTTGAAAAAATTCAAAAACAAAATGTGTAAACAAAAATGAATAAATAGAAACGTGATTTTGTCAAAAAGATAATGTTACTGTACATGCACATGTATATAGAGTCAAGGTCCGAATTATAGCTCCCCTGAATTATTAGCCACCCTGATTATTAGTTTCCCTAACTTCTGTTTGACGGAAAGATTTTTTTTTTTTTGCAACTCATTTCTAAACATAAAAGTTTTAATAACTTGATAATACTTGATATTTTTCAAGATACTAATATACAACTTAAACACACTTAAAGGCTTAGATTAATTAGGTTAACTAGGCAGGTTAGGGTAATTAGGCAAGTTTTAGAATAACAATGGTTTGTTTTGTAAAAAAAAAAAATTGCTTAAAGGGGCTAATAATTTTGTCCTTAATATGGTTCATAAAAATTAAAAACTGCTTTTATTCTGGCCGAAATAAAACAAAAAAGACTTTATTGAATGTTTAAAAACAAAAAATTCAAAGGGGGGCTAATAATTCTGACTTCAACTGTATATAGATCAGAAATGTAAAAACTAGGGCCATGGTTAACTTTGGTTTGGCCCACCATCTCATCTGAAAAGAAAATGATGGAGAGCATTAGGGAGAATCTCTTTAACAGAGCTCGCCATTTTGAATTTAGCATAACCTTTTTGTTTGTTTAATTACTGCATTTGTTCATATAAAGCAATGTTTATAAATAAATAAATAAATTTTATATATATATATATATATATATATATAAATATAAATATATATATATATATATGCTATATTTACCTTCGGCCCACAGCCCTCAATCAAGTTTGGTTTTTGGCCCTCCATAACAAAAAGTTTGGACACCACAGATTTTATTTTATTCTTATTTTATTTATGCAAGAAAGAACATTACAAAAACACAGTGTGAACAAGGAGACAAAAAGGGTTGCATAAATAACATTCCAGCAAATTAAACAAGTTTAAATGATTTACACCAAGAAAAAGTTTTAAAAGCAATATATTTGTTAGAGTCTTTTAAGAAGTTCACATATAAATCAAAGAAAGTTTTTTTTTCAGAAAATAAAAAAGTAAGGGGGTTTCTTTGAAAATTTACATTTATGGATTTAAAATTTATAAAAAACAAATAAATAAATAAAAATTAATAATAAATTTACAATAAGAAGGATCTACATTCAGAAAGTAACCTAAGAATAATTTTTTTGGAGAAGTTTGGAAAAAAATAACTTTAAAATAAAATTTGAAAAGTCTCACCAAAACACTTACGTAAGTACACTCATGTGGAAATATAAATTTCTATGGCATAGAACTGAGAAGACAATGGTCAACAAAAAGGTTTGTGTTGTCAAAAATAAAAAAAATTAAAAGAACCTTTAGGGCCAGATTTGACTAAAGGTATAACACAATCAGGGATTGCACCAAAAGCAATGGCAACCCCTGCTATAAATTAGTCATGTAATACATGTGCATGTGTTTTCATATATTTATTTTTTACACATTTTTGTTTATGACATTTTCAAAAACTTTTATTTTATTTTATTCTATTCTATTTTATTTTAAGTTTTATTTTTATTGTTTTAATGTTGATGTGAAAAAACTTGTATTAATCCTTTACTAGAAGTAAGAGGGGGGGGGGGGGGGGGGGGGGTTATATGAAGAACATTACCTAAACTAAAATGTTACAAACAACAAAAGTCAGTACATTAAGAAAAACATCAGATATGAACTGTTGTTTTCAGGACACCAGTGAGCTATAAATAAATGCTTAAATGTAAAAGCATAAATGTCAGATCTGACTTTTTTTTATTAACCTCATACAATTTTTATTAATTGTAATATTCAGCAAAAAAAGGGGAATCTATCCCCATGCATCTTTCTGTCTATCCATTCATCCATGGTTTTATCCATCCTTCTGTCCATCCATCTGTCTGTGTGTGTTGATCACTGCTGGAGAGGAATAATAAGGAAAAGGAACAAACTTACTCACTCATAAGCGATAAACACTGAGCGCTGACAGACCAGTGGAACGCACAATATCTGTTTTCTGGGTCATGAAAAAAAACTTTCCCTTGAAAAACTTTCAATTGCTAATGAGACCCCGAAGTGAATGCAAGAAAACTTTGAGGTTGGTGTTGAATAATTAAAACGTGTCCAATGAAATAATCATTTGCAATGCAGACATAATATTAGCTCGAGAAACAGATTTTATGAAAGAAGAATCAATGATAATTGTCAGACACCGGGGGGTTGGTTGCACCTGGAGCTTACAATCTTTTATTGAACCTTGATGTTATGCAAGAATTAGTTATTACAATAGATGGTTGCGAGAATCGCTGGGCTACATGTTTTAATTGTGCAAATCAATTAATCGTGCAGGCTGTGTTTACTGCAGAGATTTTTCAATCTTTAGGGGAATTATGCTATCAGCTTTGCACATGATTACACCATCAGCACATTTTATTTTTAGATGCAAAGCAGGCCAAGATCCCGAGATAATGGCATTCTACAAAAACACTTGCCATTCCATTGTGATTCCATTATATACATACAGTAGACCTCTTTTTTGCTGTAGTAAAAAGGTTTGTTCTGTTTCTTCTTCCAACCATCCATCATTTTACAACTCACTCATTTACAACTCACCCCCACCCACCCCAAAAAAATGTCTCTTTGCTTTGCGTCACCAAGGCTATCTCTGTCTCCATGGGACTCAATGAGAAAAACATTGAAGCAAAGATTAGTATAAGAGGATCGCCATTTAGGATTACAGGATTATAGTTAGATAGATCTAATTTTAGGTATGCCTATGAAAATCATGTTTTAATGCATATTAAAGGAGCATCAGATAGTTGATTACTTCAGTAACTAATTCACTCAAAGGAACCTGAGGTTAATTGCAGTGCTTAAAAATGGTTTAACTTCTTAAAAAATCATTGTTTACATCTCTCTCTCTCTCTCTCTCTCTCTCTCTCTCTCTCTCTCTCTCTCTCTCTCTCTCTCTCTCTCTGTGTGGAAAGTAAGTCATTTATTCAGTTTTGCAAATGGCTAAACAATGAAAAAAACAGATTGTACTAAAAATGGCAAAAAAGAATAAAAGAATAAAAAAGAAAGAATAAATCAACGGATGAATCTATGTATGTATGTATAAATGAATGAATGAATAAATGAAAAAAAAGAAAATTATTGAAAGAAAGAAAGAAAGAAAGAAAGAAAGAAAGAAAGAAAGAAAAAAAGAAAGAAAGAAAAAAAAAGAAAAAATAATGAATTATACACACCAAATATATTTAAAGTGCTCAGCATATATAAGCACCAGGGACGTGCCTCACCTGTCATCATCCTCACCTGCATTCATGAGATGTATACTAATGATAAAATAAATATTTGTCCACTGATCTGTGCTATAGATGGAATTTATGTATGATTCAAATGATTTCAATTCTTTTAATAATCAAAACTGATGTTATTTGCGTATTTCCTGTTCAATTATAACATAGTGAGACACAGTGAAGTGAGACAGCACCGAGCTCTGCCTCACGGCTCAATCCCCTGCAAACTGAACTGAGTGCGTACCTTTTGCTTACTCAATGCATGCTACCAATGTAATGCTTTATTTATATGTTTTATATATTATAGACATTTTTTATTATGTATTCACTTTGCATATATGATAGGTAATGTAATTCGCATATGTCTGTCACTTATTGAGTGCTAAGATCTGACATAAAACCACACTGAAAAGACATGAGGTGAGGCAGGCAGTAGCTATGCTGCAATGAAGAGGGCACATGTATTATTCTTGTTCAGTGGTTGCTCTTTTTTAAGTAATGTTTTTTAAGTAATGTCTTTTTCGCAGTAATGTTTTTTATTTTATGTGTTGATCAGACTGACTGCAAAAAATTGTGGATGTAACATTAATATCTCAGCTCAAAAAATTCTCATAATTGGACTTTTAATCAAAATATGGATAAATAATGGACGACCATTATTAACTTGCTTCAAAAGACAGAACAGAAGATAACTCGATCATTTCAAAGAAATTTTTTCAAGACTTCATTTACAAGTAAAGGTAAGACCAGTGTGCAAATCCTGTGTGTGTATGTAAAAGAGAAAAAGAGCTAGCGAGCACATCCACCGTGGTGCTGTGTGTGGCTCGCTTAGTATAGGCTGTCAGTAGCATCCACCTTGGTATTTGTTGAATCGCTAATATTCGCTATACATTTTACATTTTTCCTTGGCCTAATATGTACCTGCCATGTGTATAGAACAAATGCTTATGAAACAGTTGGCAAAGATATCGGGTGCATATATCTGTAAATATGACCTTGAAAGAGTTGTGTCTCACCAGCCACAAACCT